CGCGGCACACTAGTGTGCCGTGACATAGTGTAAGGTGTGCCGTGGGAAAATTACTTTATATATAGTCAATATAGGCACAGAGTTAAATTTTTTTAACATTTTCTAATGGTGGTGTGCCTCGTGATTTTTTTCATGAAAAAAGTGTGCCTTTCCACAAAAAAGGTTGAAAGACACTGTTCTAGAACACAATGTTAAACCACTTTTGTATCATGCCAGGATGCATCCAGGGAATGCATCATGCATGGATGCATCCATCCAGGGAAGTCACCAGAAATTAGGCTTGAAGGTGAATGTACTGGGAATAATTTCCCTTACTATTAACAATTCAGAAATCTTTCCCAAATATCAGTGTTGATGGATTTATTTTCAACCTCTTATGGCAGGATGATATGATCTGAATGTTATAATCTATATATTATAGATTGGTCCCAAGGCTGAGGGCCTATTTCTGTGTGTAAAGTAATAGGTAAACACTGAGAAGCTTCTTGCCTAATTTGGGCACTTGTGAACAATATGTAAAAAGACCATTGGCTTACCTGAACGGTCGTTCTCTGCGTGCTGCGGGAGAGTCCAAGCATGGGTTAACACAGTCTATCTGCACTAGGACTGAGTATCTTTTTTCTTTGACGCCTCCCTTTGCCTCTACAATCTCTGTTTAAAAACGAAGAACACTCCATTCAGGACCGCCTCCACAGTTCCTCGAAGACCTCACCGGAGGCAATCAAAACCCTGGGCGGGTTTGGACTCTCCTGCAGCGCCCAGAGAATGACCGTTCAGGTAAGCCAACGGTCTTTCTCCTGAGCGCTGCTTGGAGAGTCCAAGCATGGGACATACCCAAGCTATGATGTCCCAGGGCGGGAAGAGTTAGCAGAGTCCGGAGCCTCCGCAACCTTTTGCAAGATTCTTCTCCCCAAGGAGGTTTTGGCCAAGGCAAAGGTGTCTATCTTGTAGTTATGAATGAAGGCTGTGGGGAAAGCCCACGTGGCTGCCCTACAAATGTCAATGATTGACGCTGGGGTCACCCATGCAGCAGATGTGGCCGCACTTCTTGTCGAGTGAGCAGTCACACGACCCGGCATGGACTTGCCCTGATGTTTGTATGCCAGCTTGATGCCAGCCCGCAGCCAACGTCTGATGGTATGCGACGATGCTTTTTGCCCTTGCGACCCAGGATGGAAAGAGACAAAGAACGCCTCAGAACGTCTGAATTCTTTGCTTCTTCTCACATAGATGCGTACTGCACGTCTTACGTCCAACTTATGCCAATCCCTTTCCTTGGGATGCGATGGTTTGTGACAGAAGTTGGGAAGGATCACTTCCTGCGATGAAAGAGCGTGTTGACTTTAGGAATAAAGGTAGGGTCAAGCTGTAATATGACCCTATCCAGATGAATAATACAAAAGTCCTCGCTGACCGAGAGAGCCGCTAACTCGGATATCCTCCTAGCCAAAGTGATAGTGACCAGGAAGGCTGTCTTAATGGTTAGATGTCGGAGAGACGCAGTCCGGAGCGGCTCGAATGGAGCCCCCGTTAATGCTCGAAGGACGAACGGCAGGTTCCATGATGGATATCGGTGCACCGTTGGAGGCCTGACGTTCGATGCGCCTTACAGAAAGCTTTTAACTTGAGGGTGTTGGCTCAAGGTACGGGAGGAACCCCTGGAGAGGATGGTGGACAAAGCCCCTACCTGGCGGCATAGGGTGTTGGGGGCCAAGCCCTTGTCTCAGTCCTAGGGCAGATAGACTGTGTTAACCCATGCTTGGACTCTCCAAGCAGCGCTCAGGAGAAGGGCAGAGCTATTAGGCAATAGTAGAGACTCTTGGAAGGTGCTCTATTTATATTCTATGAATCCAAGCATATAGAAGTTGAAGGAAGAATCTGAAGCTGAACCCCCAGCAGGAGTAAGCAAGTTCAGAAAGATCTGCAGGACAAAACTAATTGGTGAAAAAGGCTGCTGTATTAGGAAAGAAACAGCCTCACTAATGTGCTGGAATTCCTAAAGAGTAATTTTGTCTCTTTCTTCCTTTCTCTCTAATGTAAAAACAAGTCCAATAAACAAAAAGCTGTCTACTAGTATGAGTGTATCAAAATTGTAATAAGGAACACCTGTATGAATCAGGGAGAGACAACAATTACAATTTACTTGAAAAGCACTGTAAGAATAATTTTAACTGTGAGTGAAAAACAGTGTCATGAAAATTCATGTCCCTTTTCATGTTATCCAATACTGCACCAATTGCTGAATAAAACTGTCATACTTCAGCAAAAATGGGGGTAGAGGTCAGCACTGCCCGCAGACTGAAAATCAGGTCTTCTCTCTGGATTCCGTGAGGATCATTGGAGGGCTGGAACAAAATCAAAGATTGAAAACACCCTGGTTATGCTGAATAAACTTCATAAAAAATATCCTTCATAACATAAAGTGTTCCGTTTCAGCACCCATATTTCAGTTTGGGAACTAGTTATAAGACAAACTTGTCACTGAACAATTCACTCACAGGAGTAAAGTCAATAGGGAAGTAGCAGGAAGTCACCTCAAACAGCTCTTCTGCAAATGGCCCTGAAAATTATAAACATAACAGTATGGCATCTGAGTACATACATAGTCACAATGTCATATTAAGCCATTGCAAATTACAGAAACTCAAATTCTAGACACGACATATACTTGAAGTTCACCTGGTGACATAACTGTGATCATCCACAACTCAGGAGATTTGTCTTAGAGCTTGACACAAGACAATCTACAACTTTTAATTCAATGGTTTTTACTTTAAGTATATTTTAGCTATTTTCCATGTTCAATATCTCTCCTTACTAAAATTAATTCTATAACTATGAGGGTAGTACTACAGGCTTCTAAAATCTTCCAATCTGGACATAGCTCTTGTCAGATAGTTCCAGAATGTTCTGTTTCCATTTGCGCTAGGCCATTCCAGAGGGTTGATTGACAGTTTTTACAAACAAATAATCCAAACTGGAAGTTGCTTGAGATGTTTTGAGGGGTAAACTGGTTGAAATACCCTCATTTCATTTTGAACACCTCAAAACTGCTTCTGGTTTGAAGGACATGCTTCAAGAAACCAGTAAACAGATCCTCTTGTTCATCTCCAGTGGGATGATCTGGAAAGAAACTGAATATGGAGTTCTCCAATCAGTTCATTCCTTGGATCGATAAATTTTGCACTTGCTATAATGGTAACACAAGCTTTTCCTTGGATGATTAACTTCACTTTGAATCAAAATTACCTAGTGTATACCCCTTTACAATGATGTCTCGAACAATCTGGAAAGCTATTAACAGGTTGCGTGGGTCTTTCTCTCCATCCATCACCTGAATAAAGCCCAAGGTAAAATCAGCACCTAAACTTTTTAGCTCTGTGGAAAAAAAGCAGCAAATAAGATTCCACGGTTTTCAAGTTGGACATGTGACTCAATTACTTCCAAAAATACTCTTCTCACCTGCCTCTCGGTTGCTCATAAAATTAGTGATGATACTATAGACAGTATGACGATTTAATTGTAGCATAGACTAAAAGAAAAGAAAAGCATGGCTGTTAAAATAATTATTGTTCACATATTCTTAAAATCATATTTTATTACTCTTATTATTTCCATTTCTTCTAAGATAAATTTATTTGTACTTTATCTATTGTTACAGAGGACAACTCAGATTAATTAAATGCAAATCAAAGCTTATGCCTACGATCTGTATTAGTGCGGAAATGGTCAAACTTTTCTTTATTGCATTTTTTGTCTCATTTTTAGTCCCAATGAAGCTACATATACTTTGCTGCCTATTGTGAACCCCAATATATTTTAGTTCTAATATAAGTGTAATGCACATAAGAACTTCCATTCATACATTACAGATAGTTTTCAACTTACAACAATTCATTTAGCGACCATGAAAAGTTACAATGTCACTGAAAGAAGTAACTTACCGTATTTTTTGGAGTATAAGACACACCTTTTCCCTCAAGAGGGTGAAAATCTGGGTGCATCTTATACACCAAATACAGCATTTTTGGCATCCCAAAACCCCGCCCCCTTTGCAAAAATGATTGTGCATAGCCTTTAGGAGGCTTGTAGGGTGTTCCTGGGGGCTGGGAAGGGCAAAAATGAGCGAAAAACAGATCATTTTTTGCTTGTGTTTGCCCCCCCCTCCGCCTCCAAGAGCACTCTACAAGCCTCCTAAAAGCTATTCATGCCCCCCACTTTTTTCTTTTTTTTTACACAAAGAACAGGGCCGTTTTCAATGCAATCTTGGTGCATCTTATACTCTGGTGCGTTTTATACTCCGAAAAATACGGTATGTGTGACGGTTTTCATACTTAACAACCATTGCAGCATCCCATATTGTACCTAATTAAAATTGGGATACTCGGCAACTGGTTGCAGTGCATATTTATGATGGCTGCAGTGTCCCAGGTTCATGGGATCACCTTTTGCGACCTTCTGACAAGCAAAGCCAATGGGGAAACCAGAGACACTTCACAACTATGTTTCTAACTTAACAATCACAGTGATTCAGCTTAACAATTGTGGCAAGAAAGATCATAAAATGTGGCAACATTCACTTAACAACTGTCTCTCCTAGCAACAGAATTTTTGGGCTCAATTGTGGCCATATCTGTATATACAAGAATAAGACCTATAATACTAATAATTTTAGATTTAATCTCAAGGGTCAGTTATTCAGCCTCACTTTGTCTCTGCTTTAATTATAGTATCAATACAATACAATACAATACAATACAATACAATACAATACAATACAATACAATACAATACAATACAATAAAATACAATAGCAGAGTTGGAAGGGACCTTGGGGGTCTTCTAGTCCAACCCCCTGCCTAGGCAGGAATACCTATACCGTTTCAGACAAATGGCTATCCAACATCTTCTTAAAGACTTCCAGTGATGGGGCATTCACAACTTCTGGAGGCAAGCTGTTCCATTGATTAATTGTTTTAATTGTCAGGAAATTTCTCCTCAGTTCTATGTTGCTTCTCTCCTTGATTAGTTTCCACACATTGCTTCTTTATGTACATTCAGGTGCCCTTGAGCATAGTTTGACTCCCTCTTCTTTGTGGCAA